TAGTAGTTTGGGCAAAATGTATCATGGCACATTTAAGTGACCCTGACCCAATTATGAATTGCACCACCTTTGGTAGTTAGCCAAACTAATGTCGATTCCTATATGCCGTAAGATGCTTGTTGTGATAGGTTTTGATGCTATCATGTCTGATAGTGTGGATGTGTGACTTGTTTAGGATGTGGCATATGGAACCACCATCAAAGATCCCAGTTTCAGATGATACTCAAGGTATTTTTTTCATTGTTGTTAACCTCTTACGGTGATCATGTGTTCTGAGCCATGTTTTTGTTTGAAATAGCCTCTTTACTATCTGAGTAGGGGTAGAGTTTGCGTACACACCCTTCCCAGACCCCACCATGTAGGAATGTGGGAATTTATTGGGTTTGTTGTCGTTGTTTACCTCTTACATACTGGTTAATCACTGGCATATGTGCAATTGTTTTTTTCTCTTCTCAATCTTTTAATATAAACAACCACTTTAACGATTCCAGGGAAAGGGAGAAACGCATGGTCCATCCCACTCGGAACTGATGCCAGCTTGTTCTCTAGCTCATTGCCTGTTCTTCCACATGAAAAATGTTTGTAACCCCTTTTTGTTTTTATTTTTCAGTCTTTATGAAGTTTCTTTCAACTTGGATAAATTCTTAATTCTAAACAATAATCGGCAGGGATGACTAACAAATCAGTTGACGATAGAACTCATAGCTTCAATCAGTTCCATATGGTAGAAGGTGAAACAAGTCGACCTGGAAGCTTTCTTCCTGGGGATGAGGATGAACTATTAGCTGGCATTATGGATGATTTTGATCTGGGTGAGCTCCCTACTCAGCTGGAGGAATTAGAAGATGATCTTTTTGGTGGAGGAGGATTTGAAATGGAACCAGAGCTCCAAGATAATCTGTTTAATGGCTTTGCAAAGTTAAGCATGTCTCCTGGAAGTGGAAGCACTTTACATTATGGCTATCCGAATGGCAGTACAGGAACAGTGGCCGGGGAACACCCCTACGGAGAGCACCCTTCGAGGACACTGTTTGTTAGAAACATAAACAGTAATGTGGAAGACTCTGAATTGAGATCTCTATTTGAGGTGGCTTTTATTTATCTTCATGGTATTCATGTTTTTAACACTGTGATGTTTCTAACAGTTAGTGAATTTTTGGTTTTCCTTGTAGCAATACGGCGATATAAGGACTTTGTATACTGCATGTAAGCACAGAGGGTTTGTGATGATATCTTATTATGATATCCGAGCTGCACGAACAGCAATGCGTTCTCTGCAAAATAAGCCTCTAAGGAGAAGGAAACTCGATATTCATTTTTCGATTCCAAAGGTATGGACAAAGAAAAGTACTTGTTATTATTACTCCCTCCGTCTGGATTTAGTTCTCCACTTTCCAAAAATCTCAATTTTTAGAAATGAGTATAAAATGTCAAATATGTCCTTAATATGAGACAACTCATCTTAATTTCTTTATTTAATATGGAAAATGGACAAGTGATTCCAGACGAACAACAACAAGGAAGTGGACAATTTATTCCAACGGAGAGAACATTTTTTTTGTATGCTTGACATGTTCATTTCTGTATGTGATGTTTTTGGTTCCTGCATACAGGAAAATCCATCAGAGAAGGACATTAACCAAGGAACTCTTGTTGTTTTCAACTTAGACCCATCAGTAACTAATGAGGAACTTTGTCAAAAATTTGGGACTTATGGAGAAGTAAAAGAGGTACTAATAGAATAGAGACGACCTTACAAAATATTGCAATAGTACCACACAATTGCAATATTTTGCTGATCTTAACCGTCTCTTTACTCCTTATATTTTGAGATGTATGCACACTGATTTTTTTAATTTTTTTTTTAATGAATTGCAGGTAAGGGAGACACCACATAAGAGACACCATAAGTTCATTGAGTTTTATGATGTTAGAGCTGCTGAAGCTGCTCTCAAGGCGTTAAATAGGAGTGACATTGCTGGGAAGCGGATAAAGCTTGAACCTAGTCGGCCCGGTGGAGCCCGCCGCAAGTATGCACTCTATTAAATGTTTACTCCCTCTGTCCCAAATTTATGTCTATATTATTTACTCATTTGATAAAATAATAGAGTCATGTCACCTCGTTTTCACAACTTTTTGGTTGATAGATATCCAATCTGTCTAGTTTATATGTTACTTGTCAATTGTATGCTTGACCTATAACTTACTCTTTGTTTTATCATATGTAATAGCTTGATGCAACAGCTGAGCCTAGAGCTAGACCATGATGATGTTAGAACATTCAGGAACCCAATCGGTTCACCAATTGCCAGTTCTCCTCCAGGTCTTTACTTTTCATTCTGGGTAGCTTCAGTTAATGCTTATGACTAAATATTGACAATGAATCTGTAGCAGGAAGCTGGGCAAATTTCGGCAGTCCAGTTGAGCCCAATCAACTGCATAATTACAGTGTGTCTCCCAATTCAAGAAATCTCAGCACTGTTACTACCAATCATATGTCTGGACTTGCGTCTATCATTCCCTCTCCCCTCTCAAATCCCATGAAGATTGCACCCATTGGTAAAGAAACAGGAAGGGTTAGCCAGGTAAGCCAGCACTCTCATTCGTTTAATGAGAAGAAACCAAGTTCAGGCTCTGGAATAGGAACACTCTCAGGTCCTGAATTTCTTTGGGGAAGCCCACCACCTACTCACTCGGAACGCGATGGATCTTCTGTCTGGTCCACGTCACCGATGGGAAAACCGTACTCACACTGGCAGGGCCCACTCCTAGGTCCGGGCCATCACGTGGGGTCAGCACCGTCTGGAGCTCCCTTGGAAAGGCATTTTGGGTTTTACCCTGAGTCACCTGAAACGTCGTACCTAAGCTCTAATCTTAGTAATAATGGGAGCCATGTAATGAACACGGCTTTTACTGGTGGGAGTTTTAGTGAAAGTGGCTCACCCGGTTCTAGAATGATGCCACTGTCAAGAAACATTCCTATATTTTTTGGAAGTGGTTCTTATGGAGGAAGTGGGTCAAATAATGGTGAGGGAATGATTGAACGTGTTAGTCGAGCTCGCAGAATGGAAAGTGGGAATGCAATGGATAACAAAAAACAATACCACCTTGATTTGGAGAAGATCATGAGAGGGGAAGATTCCAGAACTACTCTGATGATTAAGAACATCCCAAACAAGTAAGTTTTTTATATCTACATTTGTGTTGAAATTGGAATCTACCATTGGAATTCTCTCTATTGCACTTCAAGCTCTTTTATGGTTGGGGGATTTTGAAGGAGATGGAAGGAGAGGGGTGCTATTTATTCCTCGCCTCCGAAATCCCATAGCCAAACATGTCATAATAATTTACAACTCACATTTTACTTTTTCGTCAAAGATACACTTCAAAGATGCTACTCGCAGCAATTGATGAGACCCATAAAAGTTCATATGATTTCCTCTACTTGCCTATTGATTTCAAGGTAAGTGTTAGATTAATTATTTCAGCACTCATTATTCCTTTGTTAAAAATAATTGAATCCAACTGCTACTGATTTTTTGCCCTCTTCTCCATTATCTTTTGGCTTCAGAACAAGTGTAATGTTGGTTATGCCTTCATTAACATGGTCTCTCCCCAAAGCATCATCTCTTTCTATGAGGCGAGTCCTCTTACCAATACTACGATGCCTTCATTAACATGGTATGTCAAATAATTTCTTTAACTCGATCGAGAGATATTTGTGCAGATATTCAATGGGAAAAGGTGGGAGAAGTTTAATAGTGAAAAAGTTGCCTCATTGGCTTATGCAAGAATCCAGGGAAAAGCTGCTTTAGTAGCTCATTTTCAGAACTCAAGCTTAATGAATGAAGACAAATGGTGTCGCCCGATTTTAATCCAGTCAGAGGGTGAAAATCCTGCCCAAAAGGTAGCCTAACTTGTTTTTTAGAAAATTCAGCATATATTTTGCCATTTCAGCCTGATGTGCCTTACCAAAAGTCCCCTTAACACTAGTCATTCTTGGGTCAAACAGGAACCTTTGCTGTCCAGCAACCTAAACGTATTCATCCGCCATCTTGATGGGTCTTATTCAGGAGATTCTCTAGACAGTCCCAAGGATAACGACAGTAGCAGTAATAATAATAATAACAACCCTAAAGAAGAGATGCCCGGAACGATTCTAGGGAAGCAGCAGACCTTCAACTCTTGATAACAATGCCGAGTTGCCAGCTGGTCCTAACTGTTAATATGTATTTTTTTCCATATGTACATACTAGTGGGAACAGTGGATGTGCCCTCTTCTTCTTCTTTTGCTTGGCAGTGTCTGGTTTTATGCAAAGGACACCCCCATGGCATAAGAAGTTCGGAAAATTCGGGTACTTAGCTAACGTTAATTTGATAGAAGAAGAATAAGGCAAAGCAAGTGTGTTTATCCTGCCATGTTCTAGGATGATGATGATGGCTTATTAATTAATGTTCAATCTAAACTATCCTTTGTGCTCTTTATTTTTGCTTTGAGGTCGTTTCTAATATGCTTGTGGGTTGGTTCTTATGTTCAGAACGTTGGGCTGTTGTTATCTCAAGTGTATAAATTGCAAACAGACCCCTACTAGTTGTTTATCAATGAATGCCCTCAAGCAAAACTGGTTTTTAGTTGTGAATTGTGACATGGCATTTATTACTAGTATTATGGAGTATGATTTCTAGTGTGTGTTTGGCATGCCTTTTTGTTTTTCCTTTTCTGGAAATACAGAGCAAGTGTTTTATAAAGTGCTCTTAACAATTCAACAAACACTTTTGATGCTTGTGACAAAGACACTTATTTATGGTTTATGCTACAGCCAAATGATACAAGGTTAACTATGCCAATATTTCAAAGAATAATTTCTTTTAAACAACAATAATTACACCTCTAATTGTTTGGGGTTGAAGCAGCATTTTCTCTTATTAAGTGCACATATATCTATTATTCCAGATGTAATTCATAAAGCCATAAAGGGAAAGAGATAAAGAGCAATTGAACATTTGAAGGCCAGTTGCAATTTTGCAACCCAATATGCTCTTTTACAGACATAAAGGTTCAAAATGCTTCTAATTGTTGTAAAGCTTAGATGGTGTTAAGGGTTGTGGTAGATTTTTTAAAAAGTAAAAACATATAAGTAAAAATAGATTGTCAAACACGCAAAAATGCATTTTTATGAATCAGAAGCTCAAAATCCGGATTGAGATCATATTTGAAGAGCATCAGCAATTGATCCAGCCAGACTCAACACTTCAAAGGGAGCTTTATTAGCAATGGCATTCACGGTAATAGGGCATGAATCTGTGATCCAAAAGTAGGTAAACGCTTTCGGCGACCCACCTGAACAAGAACAACAACTGTTGCAATCAGACAATTGCATGACCAAAAGGAGTTTGGTGTGGAAATTATGTGGAGCTTTTACCTCCATCTTTGTGTAGGAAACGTTCCCACGACCGTTTAGGGAAAACACCATGGGTGACATAAGCACTCACCTTGGCTGCACCATGTGCTGCCAACACTTTCTGTAAAAATCAAAACACACTTGTGACAGATACATAATTTAAAGGTTCCTTGTGATTCGAAAACTTCAGTGATGAAGGTAATGGAGAGCAAAATTTAACCTGGCATTCAATTAGAGTGCCCCCAGACTGCACCAAATCATCAACAATGATCACATGGCAACCTTCAGGATTGCCTTCTTTTAGCCTGACAATTCTCTTATCACCCTCGCGAACCTTTGTGCAGATAACCTGAGGTTTTTAAACATACATACATTAAGAATCAAAAGAAAAGCATAAAGAATAATAATTTTGTTGCAGTTTAACATGAGACTAACAGCTGGGTAGTTGCTGAATTGCTTGTAAAACCGCTTCCAAGCTCCATCATCAGGAAACGCAACAACAATCTGCAAATTCGTTCATTGCAAAAAAAAAAAGTTTAAATTTTGACAAACCAAACAAAAAAAGGCGAGAGCATGAAACACCTACTTTATCATGATCTGGAAGCTGCAGAATCCGTTGTTTTAACAATGGAATTCCAGTTTCAAATAAAGGCAAGATGTGGTCTCCAAAGTAAAACCTTTCCTGCATAGAGATGGAAACACACACACACACATTATTTATGAGGTGAAGAGATGACAAAACTATGTGCTTTAGAATAATACAGAGCAGCTTCAGTCATAAAGCATAAGAATAGGCGGGAAGCTCAAAGAGTGATATAAACCTGCAAGGCATGGATGTCATAGATGACTAAGCTGGTGGGACCGCCTCTTGAAATGGGAATATTTGACAGTATTCTAGCCATAGTAAATGCAGTGGCGACGTCCCCCTCCTCTTCCATCCTCTCAAAGGAGCCTGTGGGGAAGAAAGGCAACACCAGTGTGAAAGAGGCCACGAAAAGCCTCGGGAGAGCAAATATGACAGAGAGCTGTTCAAAGATGACTGCAGGCGAGCTGAAGGAGGCGAGGAACGCAACATGTTGTCCCCGAATGTTATGCGCATTGTTTATGAAAAGATTGGGAAACCCATCGTCAAAACTCCTGAAAATATCACACATGTGAATCCACACAAGATTTTGAAATCCAAAAGAATAAAACTTTATTTAGCACTCAGTCATATAAATGGGTAGAAATGCCTTGCGAATAAAACTCCATACATTTCTCACTGCTACGACACAAATGGCCCATTCAAGTGTCCTTAATTTAGTTTCCTATTAAACATCAATTGAGCCTTATAAGGATAGCATAAACTCCCATATAACAATTCACAGTTTCTCTTTAAGAAAAATGCCTAATCTTTCCAATGAACATTTCATACAAGCAATTAATCATCTCTAAAGACAAGAAATCGCAACTTTGGCTAACAATTTAAAGAATCTACCATTCCTTCACCAGGGGAGAGCTGAAAGTAATTCTTGAATTGGTATTGAAAATTTTACCACCATTTTCTTTTTACACATCAAAGATTGAAACTTTATCGCAAAAAAGGATAGCCAAACAGAAAGAAAGAAAGAAAAGACATGGTTAAAGAAAGAATGGGAAGAGGGGTGAGACCTCCAGTTGATGGATTGGAGGTGGATGGAAGGGGATTGAGAAGCGATGCTGCGAGCCAGATGTTCCATCTCTACACAGTGGAAGAGCAGCACCTGCTTCTGAGCCCTCGTGGTAGCCATGCCGCCCTCCATCTTCTCTATGTCTCTCTCTCGCAGGTGCGATGGAATCTCACTTCTCTCAGTCCTGCAGCAGTGAGTAAAATGAGATTGAGATTGAGATTTAAAGGGTTTTCTCTTTTGCACTTCTGTTTGCCGCCCACCAAACCATGAAAGGAAAGATGCCTTATTCCATGCGTTGATTTGGGAGTGAATCCCACGAGAAAGTAATTTTAGAAAGAAAATGGATGAGCCCCATCCCCATCCCTATGGGCTCCTGAACTGGCCGTATGGTCGCTAAATTGGATTTTGATCACATATTGATGGAAAAGAGTAAAAGGTGCATGCAGTGGCACTATACTTAACATAATAATTAATATTACAATAATAAGGATAAGAAAATGTCAAAGTCATAGTCTTATAAATCCGTATTTTAATATCTAATTGATGATTTGTGTCCTATCATTCTTGAGAGCAAATAGGTTGATCACTTCTCCATAGTCTATTAGATTTAATAATGTAGGACTATACTTCTAAATACAAATCATAAATTATGCGCACACATACACACATTGGGACCCTTTAAAAAATGAGCCCTGACTAGGTGGCCAACCTGCCCACCCTTAGAGCCGCCTCCGTCAATGAGTGTCAAAGGAGTAACGCTCGAGTTCGATTCCTAATAACTACGTTCGTTGAGGCATTTGAAAATACTGAGTGCAAACTTCACTCTTTGTAAGTCAATCTATAATTAAAACTTAATTTACCTCGTTGTGATCACCCGAATGGTTTTGAGGGGCACAAGGTAATGGGGCTTATCCTTTTTTCTCAATGTTCACATTTTTTTGTCTCAATGTCTACCGTTATGCACTCACACACAAAAAGTTGTGTTAGATGGCATGGTGCTCCATATTTTTTGTAAGAGACCTAATCTGTTCATATTTAAATGATATGAAATTATAAAATACATCAAAAATTAAATGAATGTAAACGTGATATATGCTAATGCAACTATTGATACATACCTCAAGTAGTAAAAGAGTCAATGAAAAAAAGCAATAGAGTAAATTGAAATGTCAATGACAATATTTGGAGGGCATACGTCACCTCTCATTCTTTTACTCCATAGTGCATTCAAGTACAATGCAAAGTCTATATTTTTTTCCATTTGTCTCAATTTAAATTTGGTTAATTTTTTACTTATGGAAATTTTTACACTTTTAATAGGCTAAGAAGTGAATCTTATTTACTTGGCAAAATGTGAACCACACAAGAATTTGCCTACTCTCTCTAATGGTGAAGGGTAATCACGGGAAGAGAGGAACAAAATAGAAGACGAATTGGGCCAAATGATTAAAAGATCAATGAGGCCTCTAGTGGGACCTTGACTTAAACTCGGCCCACTCTTATGGGGCCTCTAAACTTTAAAGTGCCTTACATGGTCCATTCTCCCCAACTTGTATCCCCCTTGGCATGCATTTATTTAATTTCTTCATTCCTTTTCAAATGTCAAAACACAAAAATCATTGCTACTACTATGTTTTATGAGTTGCACAAATGAAACTAGAAATAACACCCTATAAATGAATTCTTTGTCCCCAAAAATATCCCATGCAAAAAATGTTTCACTTATCTTTTTTTTTTGGATAAGGAATTACAGAATAAATGGTTAAAGCATACCTCATCAAAACTACTCAAACTAATCAACTTTGGTGGCGACACCTTACTCAAAAACCAAGAAAACGTAAAAACAAGTTTACACTTTTACGCTACTTACACAATCTGATTATAGTGTCTTTTAAGATTTATATGCTAGAAAAAATGCAAATATTTAATACTCCCTCCGTCCTAAAATTAATTTCTCATTTGACTTTTCACGGTCTCCAATGCGGCACTTTGACCATTAATATCTCCAATTTTATATGTATATATATTATCAAAATAATATATTTCAAAACTATGTTTCAAAATGAATCTATTGATACTAAATTGATATGAAAATTCAATATATTTTTTCCGTAATATGCAGTCAAAGTTTAAAACTTTGACTACAAAAGTCAAAATAAGAAATTAATTTTAGGACGGAGGAAGTACAATTGTTTTGATGTCACTCGCACAAGTCATGTTTCGAATTTTCGATTAATATTTCAGCTAGGATCTTTTGACCTTGGCTTTGAGTGACCTTAAATGACCTTGACATTTTGGGATACCAACGGTGCTTCGCAGAAAAAATTGATGGTTCAATTCCCACCAACCTAATCACCCCGCCCCCCAAATTCCCCACCCTCACTCACCATCCCCCGGGTCACTGATTTGGCAGGGCCAAATCAGCAATTTAGGGGGGCTGCATGGATTTAGGGGGATTAGAGAGGGATATGAGCTATCAATTTTATCACCAGAGTATCTTACGTAGAAGCTTCTAGTCAGTTTAAAGTCAAAATTCTACGGATCAAAAGATTCATTGTGTTTATATCTTAGACTATGTTCTCTTCATTTTTTTCTTATTAGAATCAGTTCAAACAAGATCAGATTGGAAGTAGCTTTAGATATATGGAATAACTACATTTAGATTAGATCAAACCAGATCAGAACTTCTTCCAACCAGATCAGAATCATTCAGAATAGATGAAGATAACATGGTCTTAGGGCCCGTCTGGGAATAACATTTTTGATAAGCAAAAGATAAAATTTTAATGGTGCAGATTAACTTTGAAAACACTAACACTAAACATTATCAGTATTTAATCTTTTCAAAATGATAACTGTAATCTCTGATATTATTCCTAGACTCTTCGTGTTATATGAATTAAATGAGAAAATGACGGTTGGGTGGTGAATGGAGTTTTCAAGCAAATTAAACAACCTTTAACTTAAGCAAAAAAAAACAAACTTTAACTTGTTCCGCAGTAAATTTAGGAAGGCATGCCACAGTAATTTATATGCACGAGAGATCAGATCATAGAGTCCATTCCACACGAATTCTAAAACTGAAATGAAAGTTATCTCTCCATGTGAGATGTCATTATGATGTCCACCGTAACAAAATTGATAACCTCTTTTTTTTCATCTTTTGTTACTTTTACTTTCACCCTAAATATTCATCTTAATGAATTGTGGGTTAACCACCAAAGAGCCGTTGTTAATTATCTCTATGGCCATCATCATATTTAACACCTCTTTTTTGCACTCCCTAATATTTGTTGGTTCAATTTATACATGTTTGTATTTCTAGCATTTACAGTAAAATAGTAAATTACGCATGGTAAAAAGTTGTTTGGAGTAAAAGAAATGATTTTGGGCAAAAAAATAGAAGGAATCAATCAAGCATTAATTTCGATTTGTACATTTAAAAGTTTGTTGTTTTCGACTTAATTTTATTACTTTCTTGTATTATATATTTCTATTAAAATTTGATCAGACCAGATCAGGTAAAAAAAATTAAAATATAACTAGTTACAGATTAAATGAGATAATATTAGGTCAAATAAGATCAATTTATGCATGCGAGGCCCATATTTAGCGCTTTCTTCGTTTGGGTTTAATTATGTGAAATTTGTACTAAATAGGATTAAAATATAATGACTTTCCTAATGTAGGACTTAAACTTTTTTATTCCCTAAATAGGACTTAATAATGACCAAGTAGAAGGAATAATGTCCAAAATGCTAAACATTTACTTGAATAATAACTACTTGATAATGACTAAAAGTACTACATTGGGAAATAAAAACATATGGTCCTATATTGGGAAAGTCATTATGTTTTAGTCCTATTTAGGTAAATTTTCTTTAATTATTTACTTTCTAAAAAGAATCAATTTCAGAAATGAGTTTAAAATGTGGAATAAATATTTTAATTTAGTTTGTCTCTATTTTTTTATTTTAGACAATTAACAATATCATAATTTCTTTTATTGAGTATAAATAGTATAGAAATCGCCTTAAATAGAATTAAAAAATAGAGAAAAGTACCAAAATATGACTTCCATTTTTTTCCGGAATAAAACTTCACACTGTGGTAATGTGGTTGTAATGTGACACTGTACATGTGCACATTACTATACTTTTTGGTAATGTACATGACCATGTTTAATAATGTAAATACATTTTAAATCCTATTTTAAGAATAAAAATATGAAAATCTTATTTTAGTATATTTTTGATGTTGTAATCTTGATCTTTCTCCCTAACAATAACTTCGAATAAATAACAAAATCCTGAAGAAGTACGGAGTAATATTTTGGGCAGCACTAACGCAATCATTGGGCTTCAATCATGATATGATCGGACTCTATAAAAATTCTCTTTGGATTGGCAAGAAATGTCAAGCCTCCAGATTTTAATATTTTGACTAATTTTGTCCGTTTTTATTTTTTTAATACAAACTTCGTCCTATCTTTCTTTCTCTTTTTTTTTCAAATTTAAACAAAGTTTGATCAATTAATTATCTCCAACCTGTGAATATAACCAAATTTAATACATTAAACTCTAACACAAATTTAATATCATAACAGAATTTCTCCCGTGCCTTGAGTGGTAAGAATTCAACTCCTCAGGATTCATGGAGAAGTTCACTCAGGTTCGAGTCCTAGCAATGACAACTTATGACTTTACACAATGACTTAAGGAAATTGCGGTCCATATTTTTACATGTTGGCTCTTTGTGCGTCATGAGTTTGAAAAAATATAAACAGATAATTCAATATATTATAGTAGAGTCAATAGTTTAAAAAAATTAATATCCATATATTCATTTTTAAACATAAATTGGAAATATATATGTTTGGAGTATAAAACTTGTCATGGGCTTATAACTATAAGCTTGAATTTGTGGTTGAGTTAGTTATAAAACATGGTATTAGAGACTTATTGTCTATGAAGTCATGCATTCAAAATTCACTAACATCTAATTTTATTAAAAAACTAAAATTATACTCCCTCCGTACATAAATAAACTTTACATTACACGTTACGATGTTTGACTGAAGTTATTTTCCAATCATTTTATATGAAAAATGGTGTAGAATTAAAAAATAAAAATTACATATTAAAAAACTACTCCCTCCGTCCCACTCTTTTTGTCCACTTTCATTTTTGCACACCATCCAATGCACTTCTTTAATCCATTTTATCTTTTAATTTGTATATTAAAAAATTTTAAAAATTATATATTAATAATCTATATGTTAAGACAAATCAAACAAGATCACACATGACTATTTTTAGACTTACACATTGAGAGAATTTGATGAGTCAAAGTGCTTAGATGAACAGTTTCAAAAGTCAAAACTGGACAAAAAGAGTGGGACGGAGGTAGTATATCAAAAGATCTACAAAACTAGAGGTGACATGACTATATTATTTTATCAAATGGGTGACGAAAATAGGCCTACAAAGTGAATAAAGTTTAACCCTGTGAATAGTGAACGTAAAGTTTATTTGTGGACAGAGAGAGTATGTGCAAGACTCAAAGCAATTGAATTTCATCGCAAGAAGACAAAAATAGATTGAATCTTCAACTTTCTAATCACAAAATAGAACCTACTAGTGTTAATTAACTCCATGCTTCACAAAATAGAACTTATAATGTGCAAGACTCGAAGTAATAACAACTTATGACTCTACACAATGACTTATGGGGATTGCGGAGATTTTATAAAATCTTTCTAAATCTAATGATATTGAAAAAATGATAGATTTTGAAGGAGTGTTATATAACATGGATTGTGAAGGATTTTAGACCTGAAGTATAAATAAATACTCCCTCCGTCCGGTTGAATAAGGCATGAAATGACTAAATTACCCTTAATGAAGGAAAAAAAAGAAAGAACAGAAATAAGGGGCCGAACACATTGAAAGCAAGCAAAGTACACCAACTACACTATTTCAATCATTATCATACATCAAATCCATGATTACATAACAAAATTTAGGCATTCCCTCTAAATTTTTTTGGAATGCCGCCCAATACTTCCTTCAAATACATCAATTTTGAATCCATTTGCAGGCTATTTAACCCCCTCCCCAAGATTATTACAGTAACACCCAGCACTACTCCCCTTTCTTCTCCATCTTTGTCTTCCTAATCTTTTCAACAATCCTTTCACATTCAGCTTTATTCCTCTTCCTTTTTTCATCCCGATGTCCAGGCGGCCTGCATATAACACCAAAAAATTAGACAATGTAACACGACAGGTTATAAGCGAGGCGTTACTTTCACATTCAAACGAAAACCCCGATGGTTCTTACTCAGCTCAGTATGGACAGATCAAGAACCTTGCAGCACAATTTAAAGTGTCTACAAGAACAGTCAGTAGCATATGGGCCATTGCAAAGAAACAATTAGAGCTGGGCATTGCCATTGATGTCAGAAATAGAATGGCAGGAAAAAGTGGCAGAAAAAGGGCTGTCATGGATGTAAAGGCTATAACAGACACTCCCCTGAGGCGGAGGACTACTATAAGATCACTTGCAGCTGCC